TGAGAAAGTCGAGAATAATTGAAATTTGTTGAAATAAATTTTATGCCCAATAAAACCTATTGAACTTAATTAATACTTAATTGTTTGTAAATATTTTCGATTGAAATTGTCGTAATTCTTAGCAGTGATAAATGATGGGCCCCTTTTCAAAATTCTACTGAGATCCGCCGCTGTAACATAAATTTAACCATATACTCGTTTTTTCTTGTGGGAAAATCAAGAAACCCGCGAGATTTGTAATATCGGAATAAAATAAATGAAATCATACCTCTTTCCTTTCAATGGTTGCAAATAGTACTCGCCATTCTTCGTTTTCTTGAAAGAATTTGGTGTCTTTTGGGCTGCGTGAAACTCGGTTGTTGCCAACAACCAGATTGAGGCTTTTGATATCACGTGTCCAAGAAGCAAATACGAGGTCACACGTCTGCTCATCAAAAGGGAAATACTTGACATCAAGCACACACATACTGTTGTAAATCGCCGGTGCACGCCATGTGTTATTGCCGTCATATTTTACAATGACTTTCGTATTGAACACACTTACTCCTTCATCTCTGTCATCAGCACTTTAAAGATAAACAATATATATGGATCTGATTGTTTATTATACTTTTAAAAATTGAATATTGAATATTGAATTGGGCGATTGGATACCTTTTCTAAGTCCCTCCCTTTTATAGTCCTTAGAGGTGGGGTCAGTAGTGAATGTGCTATTTATAACTGTTTATATTAGTTTAGCTCAGTTTGCATGGATACATGCACCATGAATATAAACTGTACCAATAATGACAGATCCGTGGCGCAGGAACGTACTTGTTGTACAGTATGATATCTGGCACCCACAGCATGTTAGCAGGTACACTGATCTCTTTGATGTTATCAAACTCTGTCGGAGTCCAAGTCAGCAAAGGGTTATTCCATTCCTGCGACAAACGAAGAAAGTTTAATACTTAATTGTAATCTTACCAAACGTGTTATATCAGCTGTAATGCCACATAACCCGGCGCTAGAGAAGTTCAAGATTAATTTGGATCCCCATAGCCTGGATCGGTTGATGGAAGTGCTGACGTTATCCTGTGTCTTATTCTGTCTGTATCATTTTATTTGCAGATACTTTTAGAGCAAAGGCAGCTCCTTCCACTCAGCTCAGAAACTTTAAGACCCTTAGTGTGGATCCGGCCCCGGGGATTTGAACCCACGGCACAATAGACCGGTGCCCCACCAACTGAGCTAACCAGACGGCGGTCATATTGACGATGGAAAGGTTTAAAAAACGAGTGGTTTTAGGAAGTTTAATTATTATATGTATATTATACTTATGGGAGAGCATTTCTCTTCCCCCTTTTTAACCTTCAGTTTTAAACTAAGGGTTCTACTGAATTGCGCATACTCATTCCCGTCAAAAAAGCAAACGCAGTAGCGATAAATCATCTTTGGACGCTAGAGTAAATAGAAAATGGTTGTTAATGCTAAACTTACCTCTCTTAGCCATAAATGAGTTTTTATACTTTGCTCCTTTTCATTCTGTTGGAGAAAAATAACCCAAAACAACATTAAGCTACTGCTAAAAGTTTCATGATCGGCATCGTACGAAAACATGGATATGTTGGTCAGGTTAAGTTTGCTATTCCTCCTAATGCCGATAAGACGTCACTTTTTATCTTAACATTTTATTATTACGTTAATTTCAAGTCTCGGTACTAACCACTTTTGCTAGTCCTAGCAAATGAGCGTCGAATTCCACTTTTATTGGTTTCGATCTATCAACCACGGGTTGTACCAGTCGCCTCTCTTTATAATTCTTGAACAAATGCCTGAACAATCGTTCTTCTTCTGTTTCATTCCCAATTAAAACTGAAAACGATCAGGTAATTAATGAGATCCAATTAGTCAATTAATATAATATATATATACACTTGATTGCAGAAAGGTTGTAGTATACGTTTATACAAATACCTAATTTATTCAGTATATTTAATGATATGCAAAACAGAAAACTCGCTTTATTTATTATTTGTTTCATTCAATGAACGTCAAAATATTTTATTCTTGTGTTTTATATCCTACAGATTATAAATCAATTGGTTTTGAGGGTTAAAAAAGTAAAACTGCAATATGCCTCTCATTAGGTATTTGTATAAATGTATACTATAACGTTTCTGCAATCGAGTATATATATATATATATCTGTTTGGTAAGAAAAAGTCAAGACAACATTTTTCCCGACAAGCCTATTTCGTGAATTGCTTCACTCTTCAGGGGATTTAATGATAAGAATATTCGTTACTATCATTTATATAGAAAAAGTATACATAATTATAGGACGCGCCATAAAATGGAGTAGCTGATATTACTGTTCTTGAGAGTCCAGACACTACAGMTAACAAAGACGCATTCATAACACTTAAAGACCACAAGCCGAACTTCGCTAATAAACCGGCCTGCCGTCTAATCAATCCTACTAAATCCGAGATAGGCAAAATCAGCAAAAGAATCCTCGACAGAATCAACAACAAAATCACGACAGCATCGAAATTCAATTAATGGAAAAACACTGCCTCCGCGATCGAGTGGTTCAAATCCATCAAAAACAAACAACAACYCAGTTTTATTTGCTTTGACATCGTTGAGTTCTACCCATCAATCAGCCATGACCTCCTTAACAGAGCGCTTGACTTCGCCTCAACATACGACAATATCACCAACGACGAACGAAACATCATAATTCATGCTAAGAAATCAATTCTCATACACAAGCAGAAACAGTGGCAGAAGAAAGGAGACACAACATTTGACGTTACAATGGGCAGCTATGACGGCGCTGAAACATGCGAGTTAAGTAGGAAGTTTTCTTCTTTCTCAACTACAGAACCTTAACATCAACGTAGGACTGTACCGAGACGACGGACTAGCCATTTCTAACGCCACACCGAAAGAAACTGAAAATATCAAGAAAGACATTTGCCGAATCTTCAACAATAATGGACTACGCATCACCATCGAAGCCAACAAGCAGATCATCAACTTCCTAGACGCTACTTTCAACCTAAACCAAAATACCTACCAGCCCTACATAAAGCCTAACACYACACTGCAGTACGTCCACCGTGAGAGCAACCATTCACCAATCACTACCAACAACATAACTGCCRGCATCAACAGACGACTGTCATCCCTTTCATCCGATAAAGCATCCTTCGACCAAGCTGCCCCTCCATATCAAACAGCACTTGACGAAAGCGGATACCAGTACACCCTAAACCACGAATCAACCGCGACCACAAAACGCGACCACAAAACGGCATACTCTGGTACAACCCCCCATTTAGCAAAAATGTCAGCTCCAATATCGGACAGAGACTCCTTGGCCTAGTTGATAAACACTTTCCTAGAGGCCATAATCTTAGGAAAGTCTTTAATCGTAACACCATCAAGATCAGTTACAGCTGCATGAACAATGCCAAACAAATCATTGACAATCACAACAAGCGCATTTTACATTCACCGAGAGACGACAACGACACCGCAAACAACACAAAGGACAAGAAAACATGCAACTGCCGACAAAAGAACGACTGCCCGCTTAATGRAAACTGCCTCCAATCATGAGTTGTATACCAAGCCACCGTCACAAGAAAGGACAACAACACTACCGCAACATACATAGGACTCACAGAAAACGACTTCAAAACAAGATACAGAAACCACACCGCCTCATTCCGCCACGAACAACATAAAAACTCGACTGAACTCAGCAAATACATCTGGACTCTAATAATAATAATAATAATAACAATAATAATAATAATAATAACAATAATAATAATGGTTTAATCAATAGAATCCACGAGGTGGCTCTTCTCCTATTGATAAAACTATCTAATTTACAATAACATACACACAAGATAAATTTACGATAAACTATGAAGCTATAAAATAAATTAGACATAATAAGAAATAAGATTGACATAATTACTATTGGATTATTCTAAGCTAGACAATTATTATACAAGACTCTCAAGACTCCCAAGAACAGTAATATCAGCTACTCCATTTTATGGCGCGTCCTATCTTCAAGCTCCGCCTACAGCAGCTCCAGCAAAAGATGTAACCTTTGTCTTAAAGAAAAGTTTCTAATAATCTATCGATCGACCGGAACTCTCATCATTAAATAAGCGAAACGAACTTGTATCTTCATGCCGCCACAGAAACAAAGCATTACTACGCAACAGCTAAACTACATCCACTAATTAATTATGTATACTTTTTCTATATAAATGATAGTAACGAATATTCTTATCATTAAATCCCCTGAAGAGTGAAGCAATTCACGAAACAGGCTTGTCGGGAATAATGTTGTCTTGACTTTTTCTTCTCAAACAAATATATATGTATATATATACATGTGTATATATACACTTGATTTCAGAAAGGTTGTAGTAGGGGATTTAAATCCCCTGAAGAGTGAAGCAATTCACGAAACAGGCTTGTCGGGAAAAATGTTGTCTTGACTTTTTCTTCTCAAACAAATATTCTGCTCTACTTCTATCGATGTATTGAGCACTATTTTACGGAAAGCTGATTCACAGATTTCTTATATACATATATATATATATATATATATACATATAATATTATAATAATATATATTCATCATAATAATCAATATGGCGGCAAGTAGAGAAAACGTGTAACAAGTAGCTCTGCGGAGTTCACAAGTTTCACGCTGCTATCGAAAGCAAGCCTTGCTTAAAGCACCGGAGCAACTACAGTGAACGTCTTTTGCAAAGTTCTATTTCAAGAATTTAGGTGTCTTCAAGCGAATACAACCCTTTTTAAGAGTAAGTTTAACTACATATTTGTAAAACGTGTCAACTAGTTAAAGCAACAGTTTAAAGGATATAATATTGAACAGTACAACATCATAATAGAGATGTTCCATGTAAGCTCACTAACTCACTATTTATGATAATGAGTCAACAAAATATGCAAATGAGTTTAACTAACCACCCGATTAGGCATTGCGTGTACGAACCTGACTGTATCTAACGCATACACGCTTTGTTCCACAAATCAAAATTGATCTTTTATAAAACAAAAAAAAAAGTCAAAGTATCTGGCGTACAAAGAAGTATTTCGAGTTTTACTGACAGATTTAATATAACCATAATAATATTTATCGAAACTGTAGCATTAATTTGGTCTCATAAGTTAACAATGAATTCAGTCAGATAATGTTCTGTGTATACCATATTTAAGTATATTCGAATTAATCAGTTGAGCTTGAACTGTCCGCGTACTTGTCCAAAAGCATGTTAACCTTGTCCAGTGTTTTCATGGCTTTCTTGCACATAGCCACGTGCACGTCCTCGGCCTTRCTTTTACCTTTGGAGCGTTTTCGTTTGGTTTTGGGTTTTTTTCTTTTTTCATTCTTCTTGGMGCACTCCACATCCAGATCACTTTGCTCTGCAGAACTTGAATGATTGGAATTACTGCTCGCCAAATGACCAAACTTCGTTTCATATCTTTCCTCTGGATTATTTTTTGTGGCGTACCTCATTTTTGAAGATATGATATCAGACATAGGTCTTGCAACTGGATTTTTTAGCTCAGTGGCAGAGGCAGTGGCTGTTTTCATCTCACCACTTACAATGCGACGCATGCGGTTAATCGCTTGCTGGCTATCCTGCTCCATATAGAATTCCACAGCAGGGGAAGAAAACGGGAGGGAATCAAGGTTGTCTCACACATGCTCCAGGATGTCTTCCCAGCTTTGTCCATTTTGTTCTTTATAGCAACGAAGAACCAATTTTTTTTCTGGAATCGTAATTCTAGTACGCTTACGAGATGGACCTGTATACGACAATTTGCARTGCATAAGTGAAGATTGAGTGTTGACACGTTCTGTGTTACACATGAAACAAAGGCTAAGCAAAACACTTTCTTTATAACTCGACCCATAAAACGACAATTTTCACAAATACCTTGCTCTGACTTATCCGTATTACTCATGTAGGATCTTTTCTTTTATCTCCACTTGTAACTAGCTCGTCTTATGTGGCTTGTGAGAAATGACGGAAAAAACACATTCACAGTAAGCTAATGTCATTGCGCTCGTGCTACAATTAACATTAGCATTGTCCATTTTCACACCTACTCACTAAGGTATTTAACTCCCAGATGAACGCGCTCATTCACTTGTGGTCTTTTAAAATTTGTAATTCATGAATTGAATGATGTCGAAGATAAAGAGGAGAAACCATGTAAGAAGAAAAAAGAGGAGAAAACGGGTACTTTAACTTTCTATGCTGTTTAGTACTATTTTGCCTCTTTTGACACCATACACGTCTTCGCTTGTGAATATTCAAAATTGTTTGCAGCGTGTTGTAGTTCCTTTGATGCTTGTCCTAATTTCTCTGGGTCTTCCGTTGACAGAGTCGAACATTTCATTGATCAACCGTCTTCCCTTTGGACCGCACTTACCTTTTAATGGGCGTGACGTGTTCACCATGTATCGTCGACATCGATATTTGTTTTGGCTAAATACTGGTGAATTACCCGAGACACTAGAACAGATAGTTAGAGATTTTTCTCCACAATTATGTCGTACTAATAGAAATGGGAACATTAGACAGAGAGAGAGAAGAGGAAAACTGAATATGACAAATCAAGTGTTACTGGTCATGATCTGGCTAAGAAAGTATCCCTATCTTGATAGCCTTGCATTGTTATTTGAYGTAAGCACTCAAACTGTATCGGCAATTRTCTATCATGTAGTTCCCGTTCTTTGGAGATATTTTCAAAGTCAAGTTACTTGGCCCACCATAGCTGAATGGAATGCTATGCGAGGCTCTTGGGAATCGTTTCCAAACGCGGTAGGGTGCACTGATGGTCCTCCTCACAGGATATATAGGCCACAGGTAGAACCACAGCGTGATTTTTATAGTGGACATCACCATTATCATCTCCTTAGTACACAAATTATCACCGACAATGAAAATAACATCAGATTTTTACAGACTGGGTTTATTGGAAGTATGGTTGATGCAATGACATACAGACTCATGACTCCAGTAGGTCCTGGGCAAGCACTGGATTTGCTTCTTGGAGTTGTTCTTTTAGCCGATCAAGGATACCCTGATATAGAACCCCTTGTGTCACCGTTTCGASAGCAGCAAATCAGACAAATGAGAATAGGAACGAAACGCCGCGTGCCCAGAAATTCAACCGAAACCTAACTCACTACCGTGTTTCAGTGGAGCATACGATCAAACATGTGAAGACTTATAAAGCTATAGGATCTCTCTGGCGTCACCCACACTGGTTCCAACCTATTACTGTGGAGCTGTGCACATTTCTAGCACAACGCCACAGAGCTATTTCAGACAGTTTGAAACATGAGATATAACCAAAGTCCCTATAGGGCCTTCGTAAATGTTAATGGCACTTTATTTATTCATGCCACTTTGACTTGTTTTTGTTTTCAATAAAATATCAATTTTAATTCGTGGAACAAAGTGTTTATGATTTAAATTTAGTCAGTTTCGTAGACGCAATGCCTGATCGGGTGGTTAGTTAAACTCATTTGCATATTTTATTGACTCATTATCATAAATAGTGAGTTAGTGAGCTTACACGGAACATCTCTAATAGATGCACTGGGTGGATTTTCTACTGACTTGGAAGAATGCATGAGAAAGCTGTTGGGAAGGAGAGGAAATGATACACTTATAAGTGAGCAAGAAAGCTATCATCTCATCCACCCTGAACATCGCACGTACTTTCAAAACATTACTATAAGTCTTATAACACTATTGACATTGAACATTGAACTATYTTATAGGCACTGAACATTGAACAATTTTTATAGTGACACATTAGAGTATTATAATTATTACAGCTTTATATAAGTTAGTTTTTTGATATAGACTCAAAACACAAATAGAAGATTAATTAATATGAATATTAATATTTACGCCAGCTTATCAATTTTATTAAGTCTTTCATCTATAGGATTTTATCCATCGAACAATTTTACATAAATTTTACATAGACTAGACCTTTAAATTAATGATTTCATATATAGTCACATTTTATATTTCATATAAGATTTGGTTTAGGTAATGTTGAAGCAAATTTCGTATTAAATAAGCATTATTTCCTCTGATGAAACGAGAACATGCAATTGTTCGTAAGTCAAAACTACTGACAAAAATCGGTGATATTGTTTGGTTTTTAACCCACGTGATATGTGACGTCACATCATATCACGTAGTCAAATCACTCACATCGCAAGGCTAGCCAATGTAACAAGTTTCGTTACCATAGCATTTATTGTAATGACTTTTGGCGGAAATCGGCGATGTTTTGTTCGTAAGCCACGTGGTATGTGACGTCACRCCATGTAACGTTGCCTAATGATTGACAACACAAGTCTCACCAATGCTACCAAGTTTCGTTACCATAGCATGCTTCGTTAAGGAGTTATGGCCAAGGGGCCACTAGATGCGTGTGGGGCCAGGAGATGCGGGGCAGCAGACGTAGGTGGCACGTGCTAACCCTACTTGTGTGATTTAGCAAATTCTGCTAACCTTGTTATTTGACTTATCCAGTCTTACGGTTCCCTCTTTAAATAAAGTGCTACTACTACTGCTGCTGCTGCTGCTGCTGCTGCTGCTGCTGCTGCTGCTGCTGCTACATATATTCATATTAGAACATAGTTTATATGCAGTCAATCCCAAGAAGGTTGACCGAAACGGAATATAGGATGATTTCGTTTCAGGTTTTTTAAAAGTGAACATTGTTAAGCATCAAGGTTATCCACACATTGAGTACCACAGTCATTGGCAGTCTGATTTCTTTTCTATATGACATTTAATTTATTGATCAGCCTAGAGACGCACATTTTCGAAAARAGGCTATTTTCTGAACAAAAAAATTGTCAAAACATAATTTATTATCTGTTAGTACCACAAAAATATTATCTAAGTACATCTAGTAGTACRACAATCTATATGCTACAATTCATAAGTCCATACTTGGTATTTTTCTCAATTAAAGAAAGAAAGATTTCAAATGAATGAATGAATTTTCAGTTTGTGGTTTATTTGTTTAGCAAATTAAAACGTGGCAGTGAGATACGTACTATTAATGCTCCTTGTTGTTCAAGCCACAATCCAAACTTTTTACCGATTTTATTGTATCGGTGTTCTATGTGCATATAATAAAATACCAAAGGTATAGCTACTATAATTTAAAAAAATTGACATATATATGGTTATTTTGCTTAAACTTTAATGCAATTAAAATATCCATTTTAGAATAGAAAAAATCAGTATATATTGGCATTTTTATTGTATTTATTGTTATTACAAAGCAAACAGCACAAAAAGGTCCGTAAAACATTATCTAGCCACAGTGTGGGCGGTTATCATATTAACCATAAAATAAACCATATATTGTTTCTTTTGCAGTCCCGTAGAATCACATATTTAGGGCTAAACATCCTTTTTTATTATTTTTTTTCAGGCAACGTCAACCGATTATGAGAAAGCCTTAATCTTCCCGGTTTATTTAGTTCTTTTATTGTATTATCCTTTGTAATTAAAGCCGGCTGGCTGCTCTCTTTAGTTAGACGAATCTGGATGATGTCCGGCTAAGCCTGCCAATTGCTTGATGTTTAAATGAATGTTAGATYTAAAAACCAGAGGCACTTTAAAATTTTATAATGAAATGAATTTATTCTTTTGCAACATTCACAAGGATTTTTTAGGTTGAACGACAATAAGCAACATGGCATATATAATACCCATGTACGTCGGAGACTTCATTTTACTATATAGGGTACTAGGATTTTTCAAGCTAGTCATCTGCCGGAGTTGTATTTCACATTATTTGACAAGAAGATATCTTAAGAAAGCCTGGATTGTATTTAACCAAGCTGCGTCCTGTTTAGTTTTCTTTTAAGGTAATTCCCTTGAAAGAAATTTTGCCAATAACTTTGTTCTGAAACTTTGCATGGACATTAATTACGTTATGGACATTTAAAAAACTGCATTAAAAAGATGGGGTCACCATTCTCGTTTTTTCGCTAGATGCCCTCCAAATATGTCAATTTATGGGTTTTATAGTGAAATAGGGTAGCAACCGGAAGCTTTAATCAAGAACCTTTATTTACAGTTAAAATTATTTTCATATAACAAAACGTACTTATAATACGAAGTTTACTAGATAATCTATACTATTAAATCCATCAAAGTCATTGGATGACTATGATTTTTGAACTATTAGAGAAAAATGCAGTTATGTTCGCCTCTACGAACGTTCAAAAATTGCACATGTCAACTATTCCCATCAGAATATTTCAAAATCTATCCAATAATCTTTTCTTTATTTTTTGATATATAATGACGAGCATCGCATTAATTAAAAATCTGAAAGAAAAAATAGGGGGTCACCATTCTCGCTTTTTATTTATCTTGAAGTGAAAAACATCTCAAAATAGTCGAAAATTGACACTTTTCCTAGTGGAGACTGGGGCGAGTCAGATGAAATCAAAAAGAGAAAAAAGTGAAAATTGGTTTTGATCATGTTTCTTTTTTAGTTTCCGAAAGMAAAATGCCTAAACTTCGTTAGTTCCATGCTTTTAGTTGCATGCGCAGAAAAATGCGAAGTGCAAAACAAGGGAATTACCTTAAGGCCAATTTCTTTTTACTATTTTGATAAACTTGCCTTGGTTCACGCAACCCATCAGAAGTAACGATTGCTTTTGATATACGTATAAAGAATAATTTCGGCGTATTTTTATGTGATAGCAAGGAAGATTAAAATGCTCATAACCGCTCAACAGTAGCTCTTTCAGTCCTACACCTGACATCAATCCAATGAATTCTAATAGGAAAAAAATTATCGGTTTTAGTTGTTACTAAGAGAGTATTTACCGTTGTGTTTTTCGTTTTTTTCGCTCATATGCTACCAAGTCAAAATGTTATCTATCGATATCTAAAACGTTTTCCATTAAAATGCAGAAAAATTGAGATAGCAGTTTCATTTCCGAAAACTGTCAACGAAAAAGAGCAATTCKATTTGTGGCGGATAACCACAATATATCAGCAGTAGAACAGGTTTTAATGGCTTAACAAACATTTTAGGTTTTTAGTAGTCGAATTGTGACTTGATCTCATCCCATATTCAAGTGAGACCAATACCTTATCAATACCAATATCTTATTATACATAAAACATCATGGAGAAATGATGGAATCCGCATTTTTTAGTTTGGAACATATGTAATTTTAATCCCAATTCTAGTTATTCTCTCGATACCGTTGCTAAAATGTAGTACTGCAATCTTGTGTATATAATTTAGTCATTCATCGCCGGTTAAACTAGAACAACTAAATAATAAACTTAATTGTATATGAAAATAAAACGAAATATATGAAATAAATTACCTTTAGTGAAAGACGGCATCGAAGAACTCGTAATGGTGATGGAGGGAACGATGAATGTTGTTATCACCACAATGGTTATCCACATGTTTTATTTAGTTTACAGCCCTGCAAAGCTAAGAACAAAATGACTGTATTATTTTTTGGTAGAATAACCTTTCGGTGGACATAATTTAGAATAAAAAGAGCCGTGGTTGTCTATGTTGGGTACGTGGGTCATGATGGCWATTAGCAAATCATAACCCTCATTTTCGCAGTTCAGATATACGATTTATGACGTCATTAGTACCGATTATCTGTCTGATTGGATCGACTATTTCACTGAAGTTCAGAGCTAACTATAATAAGTACGTRGAATATACCGTAAGGCTCCAACAAAAACAATCTTAATTTGTCATAATATTATTTGTGGAGAATGTGAGCAGAAATTAATACACAAGGGACTGAGAAATGTCGTTGAAGCTGCTTAATTCTTAGTTAAATGATGAAATCCAAATCGTACAGGGAAACGAGTCTACGATCCGCGATCGCAAMCTATAATTTCACTACGTATAAGGCAGGAGAAAAAAGATGCATACCACCATACAATATTCTGAGGGAAAAAGTCAGTTCTTAAGGTGCAACGAATGCTTTTGTATAACATGTAAGAATGACAATATACCTGCCGCAAGTACTTTGAGGCAATTTTACTATCAGTTATACCCATGTCTCCTCAAATTAAATAGTTTGCATCACTAAAAGAGGTTATGTTAAAATAAAGTTTGTTTCTTGGTAAAAAAGAAATCATCAATTRATACCACATGTATCGCTGACAGCGCGGAAGTGATATGTACAAATGGTTTCATTAAAAACAAGTAACGATGACATTTTTGACTGAGTTTCTTCACGATAAGTCCTTTCAGACTCGAAGCTTCTTTCCTTTTTCCTGATGCTTTTTAATTATCTGAAATGTGAATTAATTACGACGTAGAAACTATCGTGTCTAAGACATTAACATTTAATATCGCCTCTTTTTAACTCAGCATGTCACACGCCATCTTATGCTCGAGTTTAAATAAACATCATAAAGATAAATTTCCTCGAATATGAAACAAATTAATCATGACATTTTATGAGGATCTCGGCTACCCGCCTATTGGATTTAATGATTTTCTAAATAACAGCAAACACGAGGGTAACATTACCTGTTAAAAACTACCAATACCCCTTGTGTGGCAGGTACAATTTCGAACATACTGTAGCATTTGTGTATAAGAACTAATTTTATAGAAAAATATGTATGTTTTGATTTTTCTGTGAAAATAATCTATCTAAAAAATTTATTTCATGACCTTTCTACACTTTGTTTGATTCTGTGAATGTTCCGAAACTCGCAATGGCCTGCTTTGCGTCCTTTGTACCTATTTATATTTTCGTTATCAAAATGCAAGAATGCAAACACGAAAGCTATTCGCTATTGATATAAATGCTGGATTTTCCCCCGCCCAGTTAAGCCTAGTAGAATGAACTGTATGAACCATATGATAATTTATGCAAGTTTTCTATCAAAGCATAAACGCGAATCCGAGTTTACGATTGGTTGAGTATCATATAGCAAATGGACTTAAATGCTATCTCTTAGTTCATTAAGATAAAATTTAGCGCTTTTCAAGGTACAGTGCTGATTGGACAATAATAAAAAAGGAAAATGAACTTCCGCACTTTTATATTTATTCCATTCAAAATTTTATTCCAAATTACAACCCTTTTAATAAGTGATTAAGAACCTTCCATTATCTTATTAAGTGTTTGACCCAGTCTTCTAATTGAAAACAAATCACACAGCTTCAGCATTTAWCTATTATTGAGATACACAATATAAATCAAGCGCAAAAGATACAGCAAACTTTTTTTTTTTGAACTGATAGGTGTGTTTTATTAAAATGAAGCATGACATCTTTCAAAGACATGTAGTTAAGTTGACAGCTTAATTGAAGTACTTTTACTGACCAATAATCCTTAAATCTTTAAGAAAACGAAATTACATCGAAACCATTAACTTTCGATGAAATTGATAAACTAAAATCAGCACCAAGTCGAAGATAAAGAAAAAATAACAACTATTAAATAATAATAATAATAAATGAAGAGTTTTGATTTAAACTAAACTGTATTATCTATTTCAAACAAATAGTCTAAGTTAATTAAAAACGAGTCCAACGATGAAGAAGCACATTTTCAATTAAGTTTGCAAATGAAACAGGAATTCATGAACGAAGTATCCGAGAACTCCAACGAATCATCAAAGATTAACAGTGAGGTTAGTGAGTTTTACTATTTTTCTAAGATTGGTTCGATGACTTAAAGGTTTATTTAAATATAWTCAAACCCTTTCAACGTTAGTAAATTTAAAGTGATCGTAGTGGCAGGAAACAGAGACGCTCCATATCAACAAGCAGCCGCAACCAATCAGAATGGTGATTCTTTTTCCTACCCTAACAAACATTTGGCAATGCATTGCATTATCAACGACTAAAGTGATAATGAAGTTAATAAATTACTTCTTTTAATTTCTCATAATCAATACACGAAGCGAAGTACGTTTGTCTGTGAGACCATTTAGAGCTTGTTATGCTAAAAAATACTTGGCATACTATCTTGTCTCCTGCCCGTGAAGGTGAGGGGTACGGTTACCACTTTAGATGAAAAGCTAACTCGCAATACTCTATAAAGAGAAATACACAGAATTTTTAAACTAGTCTATTAAATGGAGAAATGGAACTTATGATAGAAATGATTCCAATACCTAGGTGTACAGGTATTTAAAGTGATTACATCCCCGGCAATCACATCTTATTAYTACATGCTTTGCAGTATCTCGAACAGACTCAAGCCGCAAAAGACCTCTTTCCGTAATAAACTGCATACTGGTGATTTGGCTTTTAATAAAAGAGCACTTTTTATAGCCCAAGGCTGAAATTTATTTATTTTGGTTTTTGACTGTATCTTAATTCTGTGTTGGTACTGAGAAAATAAGGAAACTCATGACAATCAGACACGGACCTACACGGCAAAATTTGGATATGAATAGATACGTACTGCTTTGCTTGATAAATATACCGAAGTAACGAGTTGCAGCATTTCATATGCCGCATTTTGCCGATTTCAATCCACCTTTTCGATATTTCGTTTTTTCATTTCATGTTAAATTTATGAAAACTGCTGGTGTTCACGAGCAAACTGAAGAGAATGGTTTTTATGCAGTAAAATTGTGTTTTTCATTAAAAACACATCCCTATGAAGACAAAAATAATTGAACAAAAGCTCACACCAGGCTTCTTGTTGGCTAACAAATTCGCCTAGCGCTTTTAATTTCTTCTTACTCAAATTTTAATAAATTATGCCACTGCAGATCAAATAAACTAGGCATGTATATAAAAAATATTTATGACCACAAATTTTAGGACCATTTTAAATTTGAAATGCAGAAAGGAAAAACATTTTTTTTCCACGTTTTGATTTAAAAAATAATAATTTTATGACATTAAATATAAAATGGAGGTATAGTATGTCGTTTAAAGTAAAAAGTAAAAACTCAATCAACTCTACATTATTTTGTCATGGCTATCGTCACTTTATACTGTAAGATGCGTCTCCGACAGCATATTTTATTTCACCCTACTGAATGTAAATCAAGATGGTTCAGTTCATTAGAAAACCGCTTATTACCGCAATACATTTTYTGAGACACTCGACAAATCGTTCTTGTTCCTTCTATACTATTTTAAAAACGGAATTTTTTAAGASAATAAGAATTAGACGTTTATCTATTCGCTCTTCCCTATCTAAAACATTATTTTAGCAGGTGAAACATGTCCTTYTTAGTTTTTCTTTTAAAAATTCATATATAGCTTTATTGAGATGAATCGTTATAATTTATTTAGGTAAAGAATATTATAGAGATGCGACGCCTTATCTTTGCACGTCTAAATAGCTACGATCAGAGATTATAACTCGACCGATTTTATATTGTGTAAGAGGGAAAAACACAATCCTAAGAATAATCTAAAACGTTCAATCTGCACTGGCACCGTGATCATGTGAACTGAATAGTGGAACACATGGAAATAGTGTCTATCGAAGACTTACCGAAAACATATCAGGTGAAAGGAGAAGGGAATAATACAAAAAGAGAGACTGAGATATACCGGCTAAATGAAATAAAACTCAAAGTATATTCATCATACATAATATAAGAAAACTATTTCTTAGCCTGAAACTGACAACTTAGGATTTCAAATTTCCTGGCTACAAAATATGTGAAAACGACATGTTATACTTACCAAAATAGTATGTACTGAAATATAATAAAAATGCTTATTTCTCTATCAAACACAAAAAATATTCAGTCAATAGCAGTCTTGAGGAATTCCCGAGAATCAAGCAGTCCATGGAAGGATTTGTCGATTAACATCATTTGTTCCCAACATAATTATGCAAATACTGTGTAAATGAGGTTGCTGTGATTACTAGATAAAAGTTTTAATGAATTATAGCGAATAGAAATAATAATATGGATCGCAAATATCGCCTGCATTTAGTTCCCACGTTGTGTAGGCCTTGCATTGCATGCCACGAAAATATATCGAAAGGATAAAATATGGTGTATATTTTCTTAATCGTACCCCATTGCTMTCAAAGGTACTGTTATTATTCAATCCTTCAAAGTTAACCAGAAATGAATAAAGATTTTTTCATTAAAACAGTTTGTTTTATTTTCCCCCACGTTTTTATTTTTGATTTACTGATTGAAAGCTCATGGTTATATTTCGGTTTAAAATCGCAAGTCTCATACAAACTGATAAATACTTTTTTTAATTAAGTAGCAACAATGATGTGGACATAATAAAATCGCCGGTACAAAGGATGCAACACTTGTACACATTGAATATTCATACATTTTATGTGCGTGATATCAAATTTTCAACCAACATCTTCAAGACTTTCATGCAAAAATGAGAGTTTGTGGAAATAATTTAATTTATTTCAAATCGTTTGCTTAAGTGGAATGTCATGGAGAAGACTAGTCTGTATAAATTAGATTTTTCTTTCATGTAACCTATACTTTAATATCTGAAATGATTCAAGTCAAATATTCAAATCCATAGTAGTGGAAGATGTTTCAGGAAATTATTACATGCACGTTCGATCTTGCACAGGAGTCAGTTATCTAGTAAATTCTAACGCAAATAATTTTTTTTGGAACATTGTTTACTTAGCGTTTACATTGGAAATCTCATTTTCATCCTTGCAAGTTTTATTTATGAAGCTATTATTGTCCATTTCTTTGCTTTGCTTGGCCAAGTTATCAGTATGTTCAGGTATGGGTGGTCTGATGTACCCGGCGATGTTCCGTATTCTTTCTATCACATTCTCTACATAATTAATTTGTCTTTGCATCTCCTTCACAAATAATATCCCTCAAGACAAATGTGGTGCCAAACGTCCTAAACCAATTCGAACCAATTCAGTTTGCAAGTTCGGAATGATAAACCAGGAAGAGTTCCCCAGAACTCATCAAAATGCACTGATAAATCTAGTGATATCTAATAAGTAGAAAACTGGGTGCATATCAGAGCGAAAWCGTTTATTCAAAAGCTGATGTTAAGTCCGCCACAAAAGAAATTATTTGATAAAGACAGCTTCCAAAAAGATCCGAGGGACGTGCGCCATGGTTCGTGTTTGTCAAGCTTTTGAGGAAGCATTTGGTATGTTATCAGGAATGTCCAACAACATGTATGCGACAAGTACGCTCCCTTCCATCTAATGTTTTATTTAGAGTAACGCCCCAAATCTGTCATAAAATGAATCAAAGCTACGATCTTTGAAACGAGGGCATTTCTTGGAAGAGATATAAGTTTCCAAAGCAATGGTCCTTAATTTATTGTCTTCTCTTTATATTTTCTTTTCTGTTCTCTGTCCATTGTTCTTTCACCGTATGTGAGTAGAGTAGCTTCGAGGGTTTTCTAGGCTTATGTAAGTGATATTGATGAATGGATAACAAGCAACAAATTGAAACTAAACACTGATGAAACAGAGGTTCTGCTTCTGTCAGCTGCTCATCGCCCAAGGCCACTTTTTGATTCTCTTAAGTGTTTTGACCATGATATTTCTCCGTCCTCAACAGTTCATGATATTGGAGTAATCTTCTATGGGAAAATGTCTTTGCGAAACCAGATCACCTCTATTCGTAAGTCCTGTTTTTTTCAAATAAGAACATATGGAAAATCCATAAATATATTTCATTTGGAGCCTATGACTCTTTCCATACATTTATTTCCCCTAGACTGGACTTCTTCAGCGAGTTCAAAGGCAGTCGCATGTCTAGTATCTGGTTGTCACAAACATCACCACATTACACCTGTTCTTTATCGATCGCTGTTAAACAACGTATCGAATACAAAATACTTTTACTTACTTTCAAGGCTTTAAATGACTTTTAGTCCTTCATATCTTAGTGAAATTGTAAAGCCATATGTGCCACCTCATTCTCTTAAATCTGAATCATCGAATCTTTTAGCCAGAGGTAAGTTCTTTTAGGCTTAAATTATATGGTAAGCAAGCTTTTTCAAATTCATTTACATATGAGATTATGTAAGGATATTTCTTGTATTAAGCGCGATCTTAATCCTTTCCTTTTTTAAAAGGCATTTTAACAGCAATAATTAAATTCTTTTTACTTAATCCAGTTTGAATGTATATATTTTATCCTAAATTGATATATACTTAATAATTTGATCAWTTTTTTTATTTTATATCTAAACATATTAACTCTCTGTGTTCTCTCCAAGAGCTAAGCTCATCGTGGGAGATTACACAGTTAACAGTAATTACAAGGTTTCTGGAGTTTTAGGAAAAAGGAAAAAAAAAGTTTACAGTAACATATTAACAAAAAAACAAATATATAAATTTCAAAGTTCTATTAAACTATTTTATGCTTGTATATGTATATATATTTTAAATAAACAAATAAATCATTGCAATGATTAAAAATTACTTTTACTTATTTTAAGACTGGRGAGTTGCAAAGCGTGTTGAACATTTGGATATTGACAGTTACTTATATGGGATTAATGAGAAGCTGTATAATTAAATAAGTAAATATACAGCTTCTCATTAATCCCATATAGGTAACTGTCCAATTTTTTTCTTAATTGGACGGGTCTTGTTGATATGAAATTAATTAGGCAGCTATTTAATTAAGAGGTAATGGGGTTTCATGCTCCCCAATCAAAAATAATTAGACTCAAAAAATTCCTCTGACAGCCAACTTGGACTCGGCCTATGGCCTCATCCAATTTTGTCAGTCCTCGGAATTTTCCTTGTCCAATTATTTCTTAATTGGACAGCATGGAGTCCTATTACATACACTAATTAATCAAGGTACATACATATGTATCATTTAATAATTTTGAAAGAATGTCTACATTGAAGATGTTTGTATCACTTTCAGGAAAAATCCACAAAATATTTATGTAAGAAATAAAACACCTCAAAAATGTCTTATTACTTATGCATATAGACATTGTTCAATGTATCGTTACAGTTAAGCCAGCTCATGCGTTCCTATCAAGATTCAAAGATTCATTTAATTATTCAAAGTTGGACTTCCATCCTGCTTTGAATCTTCCATTAATGAAACATACTTTGTGAATTTGAATTAGGCTCAGATTAAAAGTATAAGTTCAAATTATTTCCAAAATTGTAGCTACCATTTCAGAGTTATTTGTTTGGTGTGCAGTTTTGTTTTAAAAATAGTTTCCTGAATGGATATTTTGATGTTTGGTTGCAAAGACCACTATTGAAATTTACAAAGATTTATTAATGCAAGCTTCAAAGCAAGATGGAAATCAAACTTTCAATAATATAATAAATCTTTGAACCTTAATAGAAATGCTAAACTTGTTTGACTGAAATGAGTTCTTTATAAAACATGAAGCATTTACTACAAACAAAGTACACTCTGCACACAATCTAGTGTTATTTATCAATGGATAAACACTAGCTGTAAGGATCAGGACCCTAACAAATTGTGATGGGTTTTAAAAGGCTAATAAACGAGAATATAGTACATTGTTGTCAACACATCCTTTTCTATGATTGGACAAATATTCTCCAAAACAACTTTTCTCACCTTCATTCCATAGGTTACCATGACATACATTGGCCCCAGAAAAGAGGTCTTGGAGGTAAGCTTAAAGTAAAAATAACAAACAATCATTTAGTTACCAATAATCTGTTTACAGAATTCTTATCAATTGTTAAGAGCAGGTTGGAACTGAAATGATTTGACAGACTCTAAAACCCTCCCCACCTACCACAGCCAGCTCTAGCATATTGTTAAACTTGGACTGTACTCKTGTGCACTGGAATTTGTAAAACACTGACTGGACTTGACTGAAAAAAATCTGTAGAACATCACACATGTCCACTACCGGCCTCTGCTATCCCATTTCGAGAGTTTGTCTACACCATCCCCTGGGGATTATAAATTCCCAGCTGTCTACTCCCTTGTCCACACTGCATACAACCCTCTCTACTATCTATGTGTCTCTCCCATCCCCTTGTCTCCTGGAGATCCCCTAGACATCCTCTTTCTATCCCCTTGTCTCCCCTATCTTACAACCCTCTCTACCATCTTGGTCTCCCATCCTCTTTTTCCCTGGGGATCCCCTAGACAACCCCTGTCTATCCCCTTCTCTCCACTATCATCATCCCTCTCTACTATCTGTGTCTCTCCCACCCCCTTATCCCTTGAGGATCCCCTATACATCCCCTGTCTATCCCCTTGTCCATGCTATCATCCCTCTCTACTATCTATGTCTCTCCCATCCACTTTTCCCCTGGGGATCCCACAGACCTGAATTAAATTTCAAACACTTACTGTAAAGATTAGTGAGGCCATATTCTTTTCCAACAAGAAACACAACGGTATCATGTCCGTATCAACCACATGGATGTACAGCACAACACCTATGATGTAACATAACAAGCCTGTTACAGTCAAACCATCTCATACCTTCCTACCAAGGTTCAAAGGTTCAGTTTCTTATTTAGAAGTTTGATTTCCATCCTGCTTTGAAGCTATATGAAGCACTAATGAAACGAATGTTGTGAATTTCAATTCTGGGCTCAGATGAAAAGTTTAATAAGTTATAAGAGACTATAACATTGAAGCCCATAAGGGTTTTGGGGGTTGCTATTAACCACTTCATGATAAGAATTTGTGTCAGAGAGTTGACGTAAAGCCTCGTGTTTGTACAAGTTCGGAATTCCTGCAGCAACTGCACTGGCTTTGTCAGCAGGCTTGATAACAATGTCAGAACGATTGTGTAATTGACATAAAGCCAACCACTAGTCCTTAAAAAGATTAGAGTAACTGAGTTTACGGTTAAGATGGAGATTAGAAATATCACGTCAACACTTATTGAGAAACAGATCAAGAGAAGAAAATTGTCCCTCGGGAGGGGCCCAGTTAGACTTACAAGGACAGAGGCGCTCAAAGACATCACGTTCACAGTTAGAGTTGGAGGTGTCGTAGAAAAAACCTTTAAGGCAAGTATGGCAAAGAAAAGATTCAGAATCTTTCTTGACCTGAAATTCATCAGATTGCTTAGCAAGAGGAATGAAGTTTAAACCTTTGCTAAGAACTGAAATTTCAGAATCAGAAAAAGGTAATTAATCTTTGGGAAGGGCCGACAACAGAATGATTGAAGACTGTGATTACTATGCTCAACATGTGTATTAGGATAAAAACCAACAAGAGACACAAACTTATTACGCTTAGTAACACACAAAGACTGGTACAAACCGCAGTTAAGAGTATGAATGCGATTACGAATGGAGGAAACTAACACTGCCGGACAGACATTAGACAAATCTCTGAGGCAAGCAACAGTATCAAGAGTGAGGGCATCACGTTTAAAACACACACTACGAATAGCAGAACTCATGACAGAGCGAGAGAAAGTGGAACAAGCAGAAGAAACCTCAAAAAAAAAACTGAGTAGAGTTGACACCAAAATTAGAAGCATGAAAATTAACATGAAAACCAACAGGAATGACTTTGGCACGAAGACAATGACCAACCAAATTGGTATGACTAACAAAACATGCTTTAGCAAAAAAAAGTTTTTTAAAAAGTTTGAGAGCGAGATTAGAACTAATATTAGGAAAAGGAAATAAAAAACTTACCATTTCCTTGTGGAGTTCCTTGATGATGTTCGACATCTGAAATAAAAAAGTTACTATACTGTTACTAATTACTGTACTTTTCTGTTCAATGCTATGCACATGTCCAGTATGGCAATTTTTAGAATTATTTTTATTTTGTCATATTATAATACAGTCTCAATAAAATTACTTGATTATGTTTGGTTGAAAGCAGTACAATTATTATCAATCCTTAATTAAAGTCTTATGTTGCTACATATACATATTGGGTTACGTGCACTAGCTAGCAGTCTGGTTATAGCTATATTAATCCCCAATGAACTCAATGAGAATGTAATCCATTTAAGTTGTATTTCGCAACAAATGTTGTTTAACACTTTCAAAAAGCCAGTTAAGGCATTCAGCTTCATTGACAAACCTCATTAAAATGCTGAAAGCCACGAAGAGCAAGATTCCAGCCAGTTAACTCCAAAATAATTTGAATTTGAATATAAAGTGAAAAGCAAAATAAGACTTCTAGTCTATTCAATGTTACATGCCTGACAATTTGGGGTTGGAAATGGGGTGACGCATCCAAGCAATGGGAATGAAATTTCCTTACCCTCCCCTTGGGCCTACCATAAAATACCATGGCCCTCCCCTCTTGTGTAAATGATCATATCAATTCTGATGACATAAATGATGATGATGCTCATAGTAGTTCTATTGTGATCATGAGGAAAGCTCAAAACTCTATCAAAACAAAAACAAATATATTCATAATCTAAGAAATATTTGTAATATTATTTCAAAAATGAGTGAGAGTATTTCATAAAGCGTTTCCAAACAGGAAAAAACATTTGAAAGCACGAGGCCATAGGTCGAGTGCTTTTATTGTTTTTGAGTGTTTGGAAACCCTGATAAAACACGAAGCATGAGTTTTTGGAATTACTTCTCTAACAAGTTAATATTTTATTATGCAGGAAAAGAAGTTTCCTTGTTTTTATTCTTTTATTTAATATATGTAAAACAGTTGTATGGGAAAAAAATCAATAGATTGGAACAATTATTTCTATGGTAGTTATGATGTTAATGACCTTCTTAATAGATTTTACGTAATATTTCAAAGCCGACAATGAGGACTGGACGGGATTTCAAGTCAAAGCAATTAGTTTGGAACTAATTGCGCGGACTTGAAATCCCGTCCAGTCCAATATTGGAGGCTTTGAAATGAATTCTCATCTCATTAATTATTCGACTTGGAGTAACTGGAACAAAATTAATTCAGTCCTAGGACTAAATTAATTTTGTTCCAGTTACTAGGACTGAATTAATTTTGTTCCAGTTACTCCAGACTGACTGCATTCCTTTCACAGCACTTTACCAGGTTTCAAGTAACATCATGTGACCCAAAAAATAGCCCATTGATTGGCTGGTTTACTCATGAATTATTAATGAGTATGAGAACAAAAGTCAATAGACATTGTTGATAAACCTGTTCCACTGTAGAAGATCTTTAAGARATATTTTAAGTTTATTACAAAACCCTGGATTACATCCAAGCTGAAAAAATCTATCTCTGTCATAAATCACCTTTTCAGACTCTACGTATATGAAAAATCGCAGCACATATTATCACCAGAAATTCAAACAATATAGAAATAAATTAAATCACCTTCTGAAGATTAGCAAATTAAAGGTGTTATTATTAATGAATACTCCAAGTTATTATGGAAAGGTATAAAAATCTTTGATTTGCCTGAAAAAACAAACTTATCTTTTACCTGCTAAAATTTCTAAAAATGGATTAAATATTACAGCATGATCCTTCTCAAATGGCTCAGGAATTCAATAACTTTTTTGTTAATTTATGACCTCAACCTGCAACATCTATTCCACCCGCTGAGAAATCATTTAGGAGTGTACCTTCATGGTAACCCGTCTATAACAACTGCCTATTTCACTATGACGTCACATCAAAACAATCTATTGTTTAAACTCAAAGGATCATGTTCATCGGAGGAGGTCAAATCAATGCAAATTGACCGAAAATTGTTCTAAAACCCGTATAAATCCACGAAGAGAAGTAGAATAGCCAGCAAATGCTCAGAATAATTTTTAGTACATACTATGTACTTATGGACTGAGTGGGAGGGCCGTATGGGAAAATATTTGGCTTGAGATGCCATACAGGAAATGACCGAGAGCCAAATATTTTCCCGTACGGCCCAACCTAACTCAGTCAATAAGCATTTTATTATATGACCCTCACGAAAAGAAAAATAATAAAAGAAAATAAAAGAAAATTTGGAAAGAAAATACCGAATTATGCCATTTTCATTTTCCTAAAGGTTTTTTTAAGAGCGCTTGCCTGTGCAGAACGGGTCATGATAATAACACATTATATCTGACAACCAGGCCATCATAAATTAAGCTGTTTCGCTAGGAGCAAATTGTGTTGAATTTTCTATTGGATTCAGCGATTCCATCCCCCACCACATAAATAAGCAGTGACATCATAGTGAAATAGGGCAATTCTTTCTTTCTTTCACCAACATTTCCAGTTGAGATAGAAGACGTCATTTCTAACTTAAATTCAAACAAGATTTCTGGTCCATACAGTATTCCAATACTCGAATATTAATCACTCTTTCTCAACTGGCCTTGTTCCAGATAATCTGAAACTCTCTTAAGGTAGCTCCATATAGTTAAAAGGCTTTTGAGGTACATGTTACATATTGCTGTATTAAAAAAAAACAAAGTATGTTTTGACCCTTTTTTGCGCATTGTACTAGTATTAGTAAATCAAGGTTTCAGTTTTTACAAAAAAATATCACATGACGGGTCGCCATAGCAACGTAACGTTA